TATCGTGGATGCCTTCCCGGTACAATTGTCTATTGTGTCAATCAAACGCGTGACCCGCTTTATTATGGGAATCGATCGCGTGAACCGCAGCGCCATGCGATACCGAGACGAATGAGTAATAATAGTCTCATAATAAAGAAAAATCTTACTTAAAAATCTTCTTGTTATTTTTTTTAACTTTCAATGCTATTTATATTATAGCTATTTACACTTCATATTAAAATTCCCATTAACCGCTACAGGTAAGTTTAAGTAGATTGTGTTAAGGATGGTTCAGGAATCGAATGCCGTATTGAACCTCCGACTATTTGAGTTCGGGGTCGACACTCTACCATGAGGCTACTGTAGCTAAACATCTAGTACCACCACCACTTAAAAAGACCGCCGTTAAGGTACTATACCACCGTATAAAGAGCCGTGGTAGCTCAGGGGTTAGGCGCTCGCAGTAATTTCACCGTACGCGAGCAACTCGGGTTGAACCCGGCATCGCCGGATTCCCGCCGGCAACAATAAAATTGTTTATTGTTATTTTAAGTGCTGATTTACCACGTGATTGGCGATGAAGAAAAAGGAACTCGTCAACCTGCATGTGTGAGAAATAAAAAATAAAAATTTCAAAGACATGTAAAATACGCCAACTCGCATTAGATACTTCCTTGCCCCAAAACCCTCTCAGTAATGAGAGAAGGCTAACGTCCAGGAGTGGGATATATATAGGCTATAACTTTATGCCACCGTATGTACTTAACTTCAAGATTTGTTGCTAACAAGTTCGCGCAATTTTTTTGTCTAACTTTTTTCCAAGACTAACAATTAATTTCTCACGTTGGGTCAGGAACCGGTTAGTTTGGAGTATGAATCTTTATCGCTTGGTTTGTCCTTCTTGTGATGAACAAATTATTCGTTTACGTTATAAAATGTTGTTAAAATTTCATTCTTTTATTTAAATTGATGATTGAATAAGGTCCAATCGTCTTTGACGTGTCGGGAGTACAGCGGCTTAACGTTAGGCAGCGGTCCCACGGACCGCGGGTTCTAAACCCGCTCAGAACAAGTATTTTATTTTTACAAATGATTGCTCCGGGTCCGGATGTTAGTTAGTGTCCAAATAATGAATTTAAAACGACTCTACAATACAGAAGAAACTCATAGTGTTGGGGTTGCATAAAGATTTTTGTTCATTGTAACTTTATTATAAACACTTTATTCTTAATTTAGGATAGATGTAGATGGCTATGGGCCACAGAATCCACACCATCAGGTGAACTGTGTGCTCGTTTGTCACTCATATTCTGTAAAAAACTCACATGAGGTATGGTCTTCGCCTTGTTTAATGAATACATTGAGCATAGTGGTAAAATATTCCAGCGATTATGTTTTGTAATGATAGGCTATTTAAATATTCATTTTATCTCAAGTCATTTGGAAACTGGACTGCATGTAAAATTTAATGTTCCGTGATGAAGACGAAATGCTAAAGAATTATATAATTAATTCTGACTGCTGTCTATAAACGTAACTCATTTGTTAAGAATTTCACCAGATTAAATATTATCCATCTAAATAATGTATTTATATATTTCGTAAATTTTATACGTGGTTACTACATTTTTTTTAATTATTTTAATTGCAGCCACGAATCAATTAACTATATTGTTAAATCGAGTTTATCTAGTGGTAGCCTACTACGGATAAGTATGAATGGAGGCAGATGGAACAGGGCCGTTATTTGTGGTGTTCCTTGGGGAATCTGATCCGCTGATTCGCTATTCATCTGTGGACTTGTGAACGTCTATAATGATGATGATGACGATGAAGCTTCAATACTGTTAAAAACTGTTAAAACCCATTACTGCAATTTTAAACTTTACGTTTAACACGTTCACTGTCCGGTTTTAAAACACAATAGTAAAACAATAGCAATGACTTATATGTAGTGCACGGGACAGCGAAAGGGTTAAAACTGCAGTAATGGGTTTTCGTACCCTTTTTTATTAAACATGTTAATATTATCTACTTACTCATAAAGTATTGGTAGCTCAAAGGCTGGCCGTTTAGTATTAGTTTAATAAAAGTTATAAGCAATTCCTATACCTATCGCTGGACATCATCTAAATAATCTATATAAATAAAATGATAGTGGTTTGCACTTTGCAGTTGTGCGCGGATCGCGGAAAAACTACTGGATAGATTACAATTACGTTTTCTAAGTTTTAATTCTTAGACACTTGGCCCTTACTAAAAAAAAAAAATTGTGTTATTAAAGATTTAAGAAACAACGATTTTTATACGGGGGTTTTACACACGGTAAACTGTACGTCGCTTGCTCTCGCGCGTACTAACCCAGATAACTTATATATTTTAGCTACAAACGGAGCAACGAATAACTTTGTTTACAAAGAATTTTTGTAAGCAAAGTATTTTTTTTTCTTGCGATCTTTTTGAATTTGATGTTTTTTCCTTCGCACATTCGAATACTTTGTTAATATATCAAGCAACGCGGACAAAGTCGCGGGAAAAATGCGCCAACCGGCAAACATTACTTGATAGATTTCCCTGTAATCACCACACTTGGTGAGCGAAGAACTGATTTCCTGTTTATATAATTAAACGTGATAATATTCATAAAAGTAGTTGTATTCAAGCTAACTTTTCTTTTAAAAATCGAAGCAATTGTTAAGTTGGATAATCACACCCCTAACTTTCAATTAGAGAACCAACTGGCTAAAGAGTAAAGAAAAAGAAAACGGAACTATCATGCTGTATTAGCCGCTTTACTGTAGTCAGAACTAACAGACTGTATCTGATAAACTCGTACTAAGTGTGCACTGAATTCGAAGTGTTACTTATTAGTAGTATTACTTATGTTTGCATTCATTGCAATAGAGGAAACGATGCGTTATTTTATAAAAATGATGAGCTAATGGTATTCCTTAGTCCACCCAAGAGGCTCGAAATAATTTCCACGTGATACAAATAGCTTCTCAAGACGGGGCTATCTTTTTCTTATAACACTAATTCTTTGACACACCATGCCTTAACAACGACTTCGGGAGCTAAGTATTAAGTGGAATTTATTTTATACTTTTTAGTGTTTTGAAGTCGGCTTTTACTTTTTATTAAATGTTTAATTTTAATATAATATAATATGTACTTCCCCGATCACACACAGACGCAGGTTGATGTACCTGTGAGTAATTGCAATTGCATTTAAAACAGTTATTAAATGCTATGAAATAGTTTTAATAAAATTACTTTTTGAAATTATAAATCCATAACATAGTACTGACTAATTCATTCTCGGGGCGATGTGTACGCTATTACAACAAAGTCCCGGAAAGTGTACAGGCTCTCTCTATTACCAAGTTTAATGTTTTGTTAAGCTGAAACTGTACAAAAGGGGTTATTATAATATAAATGAATACATGGCTTATAATAACCCCTGGCAATCAGGTGGTCGTTTCTAAGCAGTTTCTAACATAAATTTTGTAAATAGTACAACCATTAATGTAAAATTTACTTTAAAAAAAGTACCGCTGTGTTTCTTGTTGGTTCTTCCCAGGACAAAGGGTTTTTTCGAACCAGTGGTAAAGTAAAAAATGACTCAATAAGAACTACACATGTGATCTATATTGAATAAAAAATTATTCTATTCTATTCTAATTTATCTACTAACGTGTAATTTTAATATATCTGGTTTAGTTCTGCATAAAAAAGTTGTAGCTAACCGAGTTGAGTCATAACTCACTGTGCGTACGACAAAGTGGAACGCTTGTGCACAATGTATTGCGATAGCTGCAGTCAATTATCTGTTCTTCGCCTCGGCAAACTCTTGACGCAATCACCATGAAATTCGGAACTCAGTACTACTAGTACGCTGTTAAATATAAATAATATTAAGCGACTGGCCGCTAATCGGAATTCATTAACCTTGGAGTTGGAGCTTGTTTAAAAAGCATTCAAATTAAGTAAAAACACCAACACATAATATAGTGGTAAGACGGCAAAAAACACAAACACATTATTTTAGGTTTACTTTTTATAACTGTTAGTAAGTCCTTTTTTAAGGGGCGTAGTAAACCAACTTTGTAATCATGACTTATGATAGTTTTTAAAATAAAAATAAATAATTAAAACTATGGGGGAACCGTTAACTGGTTATTATAGGCACGTGCAGTACCTATAATAATATGATGAGTACACTAACCGCGGTAGAGCCAGCGTGGTAGTAACGTGCTTGTAGAGCCAGAGAGAGCAACATGTAGGGATCGACTAGACGAGGAAAGGATTACGCTCTCAAAGAATATCAACGTAAGATACCATCAATAATTGCTTTATTTTGTATAAGTCGTAGAGCCACGCTGCAGCAATATTATGGTTGTAGCACAAATGGGTCGGCTCGACCGGAGAAAGACCACGCTCGCACAGAATACCAGCGTAAAATAGTAGCTTAATGTTGCTGTATTATGATTAGTATATAGAACCGGAGACACTTTTCGCATGTGCATTTTATTTCTTAATTGATATTAGATGTAGGTATCTATGGGCCACAGCATCCATCAGGTGGACTGTGTGCACTCGTGGGTAAACATTGTTCTATAAAAAAAAACTATAAGCCTCAATCTCCTATTTATCCAATCTGATCTATATATAATGCACCTAGCATTGTACCTAGTAGATATGATAAGGTGAGGAAGGCACTATAAAAGTAATGTCTATTTAAATTTGTTTACTATCTCAGATAAAGCAGCGCTGTCCCAATTTCTTTGAGACAATTCACGTAGACAAAATGAGAACAAATGCTTAAAACTCATTATAATTGTGTAGTTCATCAAAGTTTCAAATGTTGCATTTTTTATTTAAGAGGGTACCTATATAGTCTAGCCCCGAAGTTTCTCAATATAAATTTAATCAAAATTCACCCGCTGACTTCAAAGAATCTCTACGATGCATACGAACTGCTTATTATTTTCTTAAAAAGTTTTTCTATTATTTTACAGATTTGCAACTCGCAGCTGAACTCGGGAAGACACTCTTAGAGAGAAACAAGGAGTTAGAAACAGCTCTTCGGCAACATCAAAATGTAATCGAAGATCAAGCGCAAGAGATCGAGGTGACGAAACATTTTATATTATCCATATGCTGCGACTAAAACGTTGCTGCCATGTATTAAGGTTTTGTTTATGGAATAAATGAATTATGTTGGTGGAGAAAAGGATAATTTATCATCAAAATGTCTTCTCTTGGAAATTTAAAAGTCGACTAAGATTCTTGGTTGATTCACTCATTTACGCGGCCAGAAAAACAATTGAAAAATGGCGGGAAAGTGTTTTTTACTTTTTATGTCCTATATGTATTGATATTTTTTTTATAGGAGAAGGGGCAAACGAGCATGCGGCTCACCTGATGGTAAGTGACTACCGCCGCCCATGAAAAACTGCAACACCAGGGAGGGAATTGCAGATGCGTTGCCAGCCTTTTAAAAAGGAGTACGCTCTTTTCTTGAAGGTCCCTAAGTCGTATCGGTCCGGAAAAATCGCTAATATTAAAACCAGCCAGATACAAACAGTAAAACCAAAGATTAGAAACAAAATTCCATCGGTGGCGTCACCTTACTTTTTACAAGGAATTTTCTGCCACGAACGACAACATTGTTTTGTTTTTAACAACAACAACAATTTATTGTCACCAGCGGATTTTTTTCAGACCGATTCGACTAATGGACATTCAAGAAAAGAGTCTACTCTTTTCTTAAAGGCAGCGTACCTACAGTTTTTCTGGTGTTATTATTCATGGGGGACGGTGATCATTTAAGTACCATCGGGTGAGCCGTATGCTCGTTTGGCTCCTCTTCTAGAAGAAAAAGATACTAGTAGTTGTGTCTATAACATCGCCTCCGTGAATGCACGACGAGGCATTCAATCTTAGCCCTCACGGGTGGCAACGCATCTGCATTTTGATTCGTAATCCAGGATAGATGTAGATGTCTATGTGTGTGTGCTCGTTTGTCACCCTTATCCCATAAAAAAAAACAGGAAACCATTTTGTAGCTAAAAATTTGAAAACTACGAGGGGCTTTCAATGTATTCACGGTATTGGTATGTGTGAAAAAAGATAAATTTATGAAATATTTTTATTTTTCAATATAGTCTCGCATGACATTACATTTATTTGTTCATGAAATAAACTGTTCTATTGCCTTGAAAAATGATTCTTCGTCTTGGCCAGAAAAATGCTCATTTATAGCGGACTTGAGCTCATTATCGTCAGCAAATCGCTATCCCCGAAGCTCTTTTTTCAAGTTTGGGAATAAAAATTAGTCACCAGAGGCTGTATGGTTAATTTTCTCAAACCCGCAGTCTCGTACAGCAGCCTTGGAGATTAATATAGTCACGCAATATGTATGGTACCAACGGATATGTTAGTCATTTCTGCTAACATCTTAATTCATAGTCGTGCATTTTCTAATATTGGCCCACCCGGGCGGAGGTTATCTTTGATGCCTCTTTTGAATTGACCACTTCTGTACGGTTGACATTGAAGAAGCAGTCATGATAAACGCCCACCATTTCTTCATGGTTTTTTCTTTAATTTTTCCTTGTTTAGTGAGGGATTTAATCATTGCACGGTGTTCGCTTTTTTTCAACATTGTCGAGTCAGTCATTCCCGTCGTCTATGACTGAAGGTTATATAAGAAGTAATCAGGTTATCAAAACGAAATTTCATATTTACACCTTCTGATAGTGTCGTTAGCTAATGGTTTTTTAATTACCCACATTATCAGCAAATCACCCTAATGCCGAGAATACATTGAACGCCCCTCCTATATCACGAAAACAACAGTTGTATTCATTATTGTAAATTAAATATTTTTATATCTTTAGTGGGGGACCGATGTTTAGCTGCATACTGTTACCACAAACATATTATTATAATTTATGTCTGTGGCGGATATCGATATAAAGCAATGCTCTGACAATATTCATTTGCGTAACAAATAATATCTTTATTGCGGAACAAATAATATATAACAAATAATATCTTTATTGCGGAGGCCTATATTTAGCAGCTAATCTATACAGACACGATAATGTATACGTGGTAGAGCCAAGCTGCAGCTATATTTATAGTATAGTTGTAGCACGAATGGGTCGGCTCGACCGGGGAAGGACCACGCTCTCACAGAATACCAGCGTAAAATAGCAGCTTAATGTTGCTGTGTTTCGTATGGTGAGTGCAGAGAACCGGAGACCCTTTTTACTGGAAAAGAGGCATTCCATCTTAGCCCTCAAGGCTGACAACGCATCTGCATTTTGATTCGCAAACGAAGATAAATGTAGATGTCTATGGGCCTCAGCAACCACTTACCATCAGGTGGACTGTGTGCTAGTTTGTCACCCTATTTCTATAAAAAAAAGGCAACAATTATAGGCGATAATTTTGTAATGAATTAGTAGAGATCTTCACATACAACGCTTACTTCATTTTTATTTTATCATCGAATTGTAACACAGTCAAGAGGGGAAGCCAGGAGACTCATAGCACGAGGTAACCTAGTTTGGGCCCCTGTCTCCCACAACAACTAAAAATGCTTAAGCAATTTATGAAATAAATGAAACTAAAAAATCGTTGGAGTATGAGTAGTTTATATCCATAGATTACGCTATTAGACAATATATTATGCTACTAGATTATTTGGCTCGACATAATCAACTAAGACATCCTGAAAATGAGTGAATCTAACGAAGAAATTGGATACATTCTGAAGTTCTATTACATAAAAGGGAAAAATGCGCCTCAGGCCACGAAAAAATTTTTTTTTTCGCGGCCTGTTTTTTTTTAAATAGAATTAGGGTGATAAACGAGCACACAGTCCACCTGATGGTAAGTGGTTGCTGTGACCCATAGACATCTACATATATCCTCAATAAAGAATCAAAATGCGGATGCGTTATCACCCGTGAGGACTAAGATGGGATGCCTCTTTTCCAGTAAAAGGGGTCTCCGGTTCTCTACACTTACCATACGAAACACAGCAGTGTTTAGCTGCTATTTTACGTTGGTATTCTGTGAGAGCGGGGTACTTCCCCGGTCAAGCCGACGCATTCGTGCTACAACTATACCAGTAATATAGCTGCAGGCATGGCTCTACCACGTATAAACTACATGTTTATGCAGTGTCAGTAAGAGTAGCCAAAAGTTGGTTTAAGCGTTTTCAGTGCGGGAATTTTGATATCAGATGCAGCTCGCTCTGGTCGCGCTCATACGGATAAAGTCGATGCCGATAAGATCTGCATATCAGTAGTTACGACATAGCCAAGGAATTGAGGATTGATCACAAAACCATTTTTTACCCATTTGAAAAAGTGTGAAAATTTTAATATTGAATCGTGTACCTACTCATTTGCGATTCTCTATTGAAACGCAATGAAACCTTTTTGAAAAGATTGATCACTGGTGATGAAAAGTGAATCACCTAAGACAAGAACGTGTGGGAAAAAGATCGTGGTCAAAGGGTAGTCAAGCTCCACAGACTAGCGAATGAAGATAACGAATAAGGTGTGTATGGCGGGATTGGAAGGTAGCGCATCGTTTATTATGAGCTTTTACCGCCGGGCAAAACCATCGATTCGGATCTCTACTGCTAACAACTATTGAGACTCATGCGTTAAACGCGCAACGCAAAACTGTATCTTTTTAGGTGTGGAATCTACATACTATGTACGTTTTTATATCATTTATTACTCTAAGGACGAATCCAATAAGTTAATTTTGGAATCTGAGTATCTTATATCATTTTTTTTTATTTATATATACTACTACTTCTAAAATATTCAGATTGAGTTTCTTCTAAAAGGTACACAATAACGAGCTGGAACGTCGCCGAGAGAATTGAAATAGATCCAGTGTATCCATGGATAAAACTAAAATGCAAAAATCAACAGCCTGTCGGAATGGAACATTTTAATTCTCATAATATACTATTCGTCGCTCTCAAAACAACTTTTAAAAAAGGGTTCACTTTGCCCCGTTTCTCTCGTTACTGCCTTCCTATTGTTATAATTTAACCATAGAATTATTTAACGTATAAAATTGTGCGGGAGCTATCACGTTTGATAAGAAAATTATACTAACCCTATTGTAACAGAACTTTGCTGTTATGCCTTTGTTTAATTTATACCTATCCTACTATGATATTTACAGAACGATACGAAGAGATGAATGAATACCTACGTTGCTAAAAATATTTTTGATTATTGCCATTGATTTCGCTTTTTGTATAGCCATGCTGCAGCTATATTATAGTTCTGTGAGAGCGTGATTAGACCAGGGTATAATCACGCTATCACAGAATACCAGCGTAAAATAACAGCTAAATGCTGCTGTGTTTCGTGTAGTGAGTGTAAAGAACTTTTTACTGAAAACGAGGCATTCCACTTTAGTCCTCAGGGGTGACGAGGCACAATACCACTATCCACTTACAATGAGGTGGAATGTGTGCTCCTTTATCAACCTTATTCTATAAAAAATATTTTGTTTTAATTACAGTACTTAACAAAACAAACCGTCGCTCTACGTGAGGTGAACGACTCAAGGCTGAGAATATACGAACAGCTTGAAGTAAGCATCCAAGACTTGGAGCGAGCAAATCACAGGCTAGCCGTCGATCATGCCGCCGATAAAAAACATATTAAAACGTAAGCATGAATATATATTTTTTTTATAAAGAAGCTGTAATCATCCAATTATTATGGATTTCAAACACATCATGACGTCTATGGTGACAATGTCGCTGGTTCTGTTCTCTTCGTATCCCAACCAAAGGCAACATTTGTGCAACACAATAACACAAATGTTTCCTCTTCATGTCTGGGTGTGTAATTATTAACCATGTCATACCATATATAATTATAGCTTTGAAACTGCATCCAAACCTTCCTCCAATCTTAATAGTACAGGCGTCAATCGTGTTACATTGCTTAAAAGTAAGTGAGGAGAACCACAATCAGTAATAGCAACCAAAGATAATTTATTAGTGCGGATGGCATAAATAATAGGGATAGTTATTGTCAGGTAATGTTTAGACCCTTCAAAATTTAAACCCGCCATCCGAAAACAAAACATTTTTGTTTTCGGATCACGTCACGTTGTGAGCTTAATTTTTTGAAATATTAAAATGAATTTTTTTGTATTATTTTTACAAAATTTTTCTCTAAAGCTTTTCATAGGTTAGCTCTACATATTATAAGGAATACCATTAACTTTACTATTAATCTATGTTCATACTATTTTAGTAGATCACCATACAAAGTATGTATATTATGGCAGGAAATTAATTACTTAGTATTATAGTAATTATAGAGTATTGACCAATATTGTTACAGAGGGCGCACTAAAGTAAACATTCGCTCCTTAAATAATTCATTTAAAAATAGTTTAAAACAATAGAATAGTTTAAAAGTGATAAAAATAAATTGAATATACTACGACGAGAGTGAAACAGTGTTTGTGACTATATCAGTTGAACCTAAGTGAAAAATTTATCGAACTTAAACAGTGCATAATAATCTCAGATTTTATTAACTAAAAGACATTTTTACTCAAGATAAACTATAAACAAATAAATGTACCAAAGAGCCATCTCAAACAAAACTATGTGTATCAGTGAATAGTGCTTTACTTTTAAATTCGTATAACGACTTCAAACAAATACGTGTATCAATCATTTGAACTTCGGACCCAATCCCTAGCTCAATAGTCTATCGCTAAATACAAAGAGCGCCATCTATTTGCGTGTTGCTTAACTTCTTGCTTTCTTGCTGCGAAACGATCAATACAAACGTCAAGTCAAGTCCATAAATATCTATTAGTGCCGAGAAATTACCCAAGATGTCACTAATATGCTCAAAGTGTAAAGATTTAATAGAAACAAGATATTATCTAGAGTGTAACAATTGCATAAAAATATATCACCTTGAATGTACTAATATTACAGAAAAAAGATTTCACCTAATGACAAATAATCATAAAAATAAATGGAAATGTACAAATTGTTTGATGTTGTTTAAATCAGATACAAACCAGAATGAAAATAGCTGTTACGTCACAGAACGAAAAAAGTATAATATAAATATAACTACTGAAAATTCTTTTGAAGGTTTATCAGACGAAGAATATTCTTCCTTTGTCACAGACAGTAAATTGAACAGAAGTTGCCCAAATATAGGAATGAATCTGGAAGAAGATACGCAGGAAATGAAGAACAAAATATTACACCTAGAGTTGAAACTAAAGGCTGCTGAAAACGAAATCGAAAACCTTCACTCTGAAAATACTGCCTTAAGTGAACGACTAGCCGAATATGAGCGAAAAATAAAAACTTTGACTGGAATATGTACATCAAGCTCAAAAAATCCCACCAAACCAAAAAACAGGACGAGCCTTAAGGGTACTCAGTGTGGCGGATTGGGATTATTTTATTAGATATAGTGGACTGTATTGAGATTCTAAATCCCCTGAAACGTTCAGTTACCGCAGTCACAAAATCACACCAAAAACAGCAATAAACTACTCACGGTCTTACTAGCCAGCCTCCCAAGATCAGCAAACGTTGACAGCTCCTGGTAGCTTCTTCTACACGGTAGAATACACTAGCAATTAGATTGTACACGGTACACTCTGGAGTAGTCCCTTTTTAAAGTTTTTGGAGAGATGTTCACATCACGAACACAAAGAGAATGTGTATGGCTTGTCTCGCCTCCTACCCTCCTCTTCTCTTTTTTTTAACTCCACAGATTATTACAACGCATATTACGTCGCAATGTTGCCACTAGGTGTGACCGGCGCTCCGATCGTAGCAGATCATTGTGCCTCGGTATAAATTTTGTGAGTTGCGGTTTATTACTGAACACACCCCCCACCGAAACCATCTTGATGGTTTCTCCTAACTATATGAAAAAGATATTAGAGAAAATATTATAACTTAAGCTACGGAACATGCAAAATAACGCTGAGACACAGAATGTCCTCAACGAGAAAAAAAAATATTAATACACGTAAAAACTAATTTGAATAAGGTAGAGGACTCAGTTTATTAACTGGTCTCTGTAGAGTACTCTTTTGAGTGCGAAGCGTAACACAACGAACAATCCCATCTGGACCGGGGTGAAGAGCCTCAATTCTACCCAAAGGCCAATTGCACGGCGGTACATTATCAGTTTTTATGATTACGAGATCACCTATTTTTATATTAGATCTATCCGAATGCCACTTTGCTTTCTGTTGCAGCGTATTTAGATATTCGTGACTCCATCTACGCCAAAACATTTGTGAACATTTTTGAATATATTGCCAACGTGATAATCGATTTATTGTTATATCCTCTACATTATACTCAGGTACTGCTGTTAACCCTTTTCCAATTAGAAAGTGTCCCGCAGTCAAAACGTTGAACTCATCAGGATTATCACTAGCTGGTAACGGACAAAGCGGCCGCGAGTTGAGAATCGCTTCTACTTTACAAAACACTGTTGTGAGTTCCTCGAACGTCAAACTTTTTTCTCCTACGGCTCGCGTTAATAGATACTTGGCGGATTTAATTCCAGCTTCCCAGAGCCCACCCATATGTGGTGCACCAGGGGGATTAAATCTCCATATAATTTGTCGTTTTGAGCAACCCTCTAATATATTGTTTTTTTGTTCGAGCATAAATCTTTGTACTTCGGTTAAATGCTTACTAGCAGCTATGAAATTAGTTCCGCAATCCGAATAAAGGAAGGAGCACACACCGCGTCGCGCTACAAATCTGTCTAAACACGCGAGGAAACAGTCCGATGACAACGACGATAAGACTTCAAGGTGTACAGCTTTTGTCGAATAACAAATAAATAATGCTAAATATGACCGTTCAACCCTAGCATTTCGTCGTAAACTTTCTTTTGTAAAGAACGGACCACCGAGGTCCACCCCTACATGCTCAAAAACATTACAAGGTATCAATCGGGCTGCTGGCAAAGGTGCCATCTCAGGCTGTAAGAGCACTGGGTTGTGTTTAAAACAAATTTTGCATTTGGACAAAACTGACCGAATAATGCGACGGGATGCTAAAATCCAAAAATTTTGATTAATAATGTTTTGTAAGGTGCGTGGACCTACGTGTAAATATTTTTTATGTAAATATTCAATAAGTAACAAGGTAAATCTACTATTTTTAGGTAATAAACGAGGATGCTTCGCGTTATAAGGTAACGCTGAATAATTTATTCGACCCCCCACCCTGAGGTATCCGCGTTCGTCAATAAATGGAGATAATTTTCTCAACGACGGAACGTACTTTGTGCCCTTTGACAATCTATTTATTTCATTTGCGAAGTATGCACTTTGTACTAATTTAATTAAAACATCTTGGGCAGTATTTAATTCGTTAGTCGTCAGTATTGATTGCTTCGAGTGACCGGATTTGAGTCGGAACCATCTCAATATTCGAGCAAACGTACGTTGCAGTTTATAATAAGAAGAGAAATTGGAAAAGATTCGGTCACAGAACTCTAACTTAGTCTCCTCTATCGAATTATTTTCATTTGTGATTAAATTGAAGGAGCCTAATGTATGATTTGATTTCATTTCGGGTGTATTACTTTCATGTTGGTTGATAAATGTTCTCACTGGCCACTGCGAATAGTCGTCGTACAACCAAGATGGGCCCTTCAACCACTGCTCACTGCACTCCACGAGCTGTGACGGAGACGCTCCGCGCGAGCATATGTCTGCCATATTGCACTCACTACTCACGTGACGCCAACAGTGTGGAGGTAACACTTCACATACCTGAGTAACACGGTTACTAACAAACGGCTTTAATTTGTAAGCTTCTGTCTGAAGCCACGTCAACACGATAGTCGAATCGGTTAACGCAGTAATACGAGTAATTTTTACACGAGTTAAAATGTCACGGACATATCTAATTAATTTGCTTAACAAAACTGACGCCATTAATTCCAACCTCGGGATAGTTAATGGTTTGACGGGGGCTACTTTAGATTTTGCTGTCACCAGGCGTACTTTAGTTTGACCTCTATCGTTACGACTGATCACATACACACAACTAGCATAACCGCGAGAGCTTGCATCGCAAAAGGCGACCAATTCACATTCGGTCTGTTCTGGTAGCAGCATATGTCTATCTATCTTGATTGCCGTTAGTCGGGGGAGATCATCAACGTAATTAAGCCAGCGCTTAGTTACGTCAGTTGGGAGCTGCTCATCCCATCCTATGCCCAGCTTCCATAAATCTTGCATTATTTCTTTCGCGATGAAAATGCACGGTGAAATAAAACCCACGGGGTCGTAAATAGAAGCTAATAATTTTAAAACAGAACGTTTAGTTGTTACTTTATCAGTCTTATCTACTGTGAAATAAAAACAGTCAGTCAAAGGGAACCATTTCAGACCTAGCACTTTGACTGAATATTCGTTACAATCTTTCATAAATGTAACAGGACACTCTCGGTTTTCTAACGGAACGCGTTGTAAAACTTTTGCACTATTACTCGCCCACCTTTTGAGTATAAAGCCACCGGAATTAAACATCTCTAAAAGTTCATCTTGTAACCGAGATATCTGTGACAATGAACTACAAGAATATAGAATGTCATCCATGTACACGCCCTCGCGCACAACCTTTGCAGCGAGTGGGAAA